TCTCAGAACTTGAATAGCTAGGTCTAAACACAAGTATAAGATACTATAAAACTCAGAGCAAAAAATAATTGGAATCAACCAGAATTACTCTTCTTTACAACAAACATATGTCTATTTTATTTTCCTTATTGAAATCATCCACATATTCATGAGACACCAGTGTTCAATGTGATAGGTTGAAAGCATCCATGGTTTTTTACATTTTTAGCTGTATAGTTGGTCTATTTGTAAGAAATAGCTGCTGATAGTGCTCAGGGGACACTTGTTTCAATAAGCTTTTCTACTACTGCTTTCTTTCTCTGAAGTGAATTCTTCCATCATAGCTCAAAAATTCTGCAGCTGCTGCACAGCAATGTATTTCCCAAAATTCTATTTACACAGGCAGATACAAAAGCAAGCGAATGAGACTCCTTAGGGCCTAAATCCATAACTTCTATTTTATTTATCTTTACTGAATGAAGGCTATAAATTTTAAATATCAGTTGATATTCAAGATAAAACTTTATTAATAAACTTCCAAGATTAAATTAACTTATCTTGATAAAATTACTAAAAATTTTGTATTTATCTTACTTCATTCTAGCATGTTTATATGCCAAAGCTAATACAGCACACATCAGTACAGACTGATTACCAAAGGTTATGTAAAGGACAATCTCTTAGTGGACAGAGGAAAATATTTTTATTGTCTACTCATTCTGGTTTCAATTATGGTACTCACATTTCACAGTTTAAATAATTACTAAATTTTTTATCTTCAACAGCATTTCACCAATGGAACCACTAAACACTTTACTGACTACCAGTAATTTTATTTTGTTTATATCCCGGAATTGGTTATACAGCTACAGTACCCACTCATTTTCTTTTTGAAACAACACAAATAGCATCCCATACTATGACACTTAGCAATACAGAACCAATGTGCATAACCATCCAAGTTACAATTCACTGAAAGCTTTCCCCATTTAAGGTTGGAGTTTGGGATTTTTTTGGAACACACAATAAAAAAAGTTTAATACTTTTTCCTGGACAAAGCTTTTAAATAAGAACAAATTATTGCCAAATCATTAAATAAAAACACTGCCAGTGTTGAGCAAAGATTGCACAATAAGTAAATGTTCTGACAAGAGCTGGAAACACAGACTTCCACCAACACTAGAAGCACAGGTAAAGAATAGAAGGAAGTGTAACCAAAAGTGTATGTATTTTTTCTGGAGATTTCAGTGGCCTGTAAATATTTTCCTCAACCCCTACATCACTGACTGAAATTACTGGGGTAAAACTTGCAGGAAATCTTTGTATTGTTACTAGCTTGCCTTCTGTGATACAAGTTCACTGGGATCTCAAACTGGCCATGAATTCTGCATTGTCATCTCACATAGTTATTTTATTAGATGGCTGCTTAGACACACATTTTCAAAAAAAATTCTTTTGGTGGAACAAGATTTTTCAAGTAGCACTTTATTTTGTTGTGTGCATGTAATTTGATGGTAGCCCACCACAGCAGTTTTCAAAACATAACACAGAAGCACAGTGAAAGCTAACATCCTATACTCTTTACTGAAGTTGTGTCATTAATTACATTACCTCTGCATTCAATCAGATGTAAACACCTACAAGTACAAATCTTATGTGCCTAACTTTACAGAATAGATGAGAAGTTATTCTGGTGATAAAAAACCTAAAACCATCCCTCTAAATATTCTCACAATTGCACAAATAAATCCAAGGTTTGTAGTATTAAAACTAAAAGGAAGTGAAAGGTAAATCATAGTAATTAAGATGTTAGTATTATCAATAAAGTCAATCTTTCAAGTTTGTGATGCAAATAGTTCATATTGGGACCCTGAGGGAAAGGCTTTAATAATTTAACACTTCATACAGCAATGACGTATTTTGTGTGCATTTTCAACTGAACTTCCTTACTCTGCTTTTACCTGCTCTTCCATTCATAAAGCAAGCTCTGTGTTTCCAGCTGTTCTGAGAACAACTATTTACTATTTCTTCATTATTTGCCTTTAAAGACTTCAGATTACTAAAGATGCTATATCAAAATTTTCTAAAGCAAATCCATTCTATTCCCTTGTTCTACATTACTTGTACCTTTTCAGAATATTTCTGTGTTTTTATCCAGGAAAACATAGCACATGCTTGGGCTTTTTCTGGGAAAATTCTTGAAAATAAGTGCTCTTCCTTTAAAGGCTTGTCTAAGGTGTGTTAGCTTTTTTTAAGAAAAAATATGATTTGCCTAAAGTTATGCAAACCAGGTTTAAACCAGTCCAGCAGTGGCAAATTAGCAACAACACTGTGGTTAGAAAACAAAACACAAGGTCTCATAAGCATTGGCTTCTACTGTCACGGAAAAAAAGGGTTACAGAAAACTCCCATTACAGATTGTCCACACAGATAAAAATCACTGTAAGTTTAATGATACATACAAAGACTCAGAGTCACAAATTACTGTGCATCCACTGAACTGCAGTAACTGTTCAGGTTGCTGCTCAGAGCCATCAGCAAAGAGGCAATTTATTACAAGTTTCAAAGCTTCACTGAAGACTGACTAAGAACAGGCTAATCAGATAACTCTTGTAACTTAATCTGAGACTTTTCTGTGAATCTGTTAAAATAAATGTAATTAACTTGGGGCATCATACACTGTTGTATAAAATTACAGCAGTGTAAGAAGCAATTAGAACTTACTTTGTGCACCAGTGTATCATTTTTATCAATAAAATAAATAATATTGTCATAATAGTACAGTGTCACACCACTAGCAGAGCCAGAGATGGCAATGAGTTTCACAAACGTTTCAGGTAAACACTGTGTATTTAAAAACACTATACTTAATCAGAAATATGACATCTTTTTGTTGTGTCAAGTAACTTAGTACACAGCAGTAATTATAATAAATGATTCTGGACCAAAAAAAAAAAAAAAAACCACTTAAAATTATAGATATTGGTTTCCTTTGTAAAACATTTTTTCACACTGAACACTTAAATGTTAATTGACAGAATTCAGTCTTGAAATCTTGGTCATCTGGGAGCATGTCTACAATAAACTTACTAAATTTAGTAAGTTCACTTACTAAATTTGCATTTATGCTTCCAGTTTACAACTCCTTTCCAACATGCTAAACTACATTATTGAATTAGCAGTTTACTAAACATCAGAAATTTATTAGAGCATTATGCAATTGGCAACATACAGACAAAAAATCTCCATAAATGTCCTTGAATCTCTTATCAAAAGACAACAGAACATCACGTAAGAAAACAAAAAGTGCCATCTTACAGCTGGTATTTCTAAAATGAATGCAATTACAACATCAGACTTAACAGGGTGTATTTCAGGAAGTGAGTATTACCCTCCACACATCTGACGTTTAGACAACACTTGTCATTCCTGTATCCTCAACAACCTCATTTAATATGTAACCATTTTTCTCCCTTTACAGAGGGAGCAACAGGAATTAGGGTGAGGCACGCTGTAGAAGGTCATTTACCAGGCCAGAGACAGCAACACAGCACAGCTCTGCCAAGTCCCTTTACAGCGTGCCTCTTTCCCGGTTCACAGCTGCCATTTTCCTACTTTTCACACGGTTTTTTAAAGGACACTTCTTAAGAAACTACAGCCTCTATTTTGCAGTTGAGCTTGTAAAAGTTTGTACATTAGAAGAAGAGCATTGCAAAAATGCATTTGACAGATAGAGCTAATAAAACCAAGGCACATCAGACTACCTGCTAAGCTACTGCTAAAAGAACATTCTGTACAGTACGTTCAATTTCTAGATCTCGTTTCATTTCAGTAACTGTGAAAGACACACCATGGAATGGGGGGAGGAAGGGGGAGTTATGCTTCTAAACTTCAGGAGAATAATTTTTATCCCATACAGTTCAATAATTTGACATTTAAATCCTTTTTGGCTATGCTAAATCCAGCTTATTATGAAAATTAAACAAATTTCACTCATTTTATACACTCTTTCCATGCTGTTCTATTACTAGTGACAAAAAATGTAAGCTGTACTGGACCAAAATGAGATCTAGATGATTCAAATATAAAAACAAAATGGAAAACTATAAATATCCGAGAAAAAGTAGAGAAGTTACTGGTTAAATAAGGAGAGAAAGGGGCCACTGCCACAAAACCTAGAGCTCTTTTCTCCTGCCCCAGTCATAATAAAGCATTACCCACTGAAAGCAGCACAGTGAAAGCGATCCATTCTACCAGAGAAATTTCTGCAGCCCCTGTTTAAGAACCCCTTCGGAGTAGGTATGAATGAATAATTCAGCTGGAAATACCTGTCAGGCAGCAGGATGTTCCATCCTACTGTACCTACAGCAATACCATCCGGCCGAGAAAGCCAGACGGTACCTGTCTCCAGAGCTGACCCCACACCGCAACCTCATTTTACGGAGAGAAAGAGAACCCCACGGGCAGCAGGCGGCTTGGAGCAGGACGTGCCTGTCCCAGTCCCCCTCGTGCGGGGGAATCGCAGGAGCTCAGGGCTGTTGGTCACGGTCCCACGCCGACACGGGGAGGGCCCCGCTGACCGCGCAGCCCGCACGGTGCCATACGTTCCCACGGCGCCCAGCGAATCCGCGGCCTCCCAAGTCCCGGGGGCCGGCATCCCTCCGCCCTTCCCTCGCCTGCCCAGGAAGCGGCGGCATCGCCCCTGACGCCTCCCTGAGGCGCCTCTTCCCCCGCGCCCCGGGCCCGCTGCCTCCCCCCGCGCCCGCCCCGCCCGAGTCCGGGCCTCGCCCCTCACACCTCTGCGCGCCTCGCCTCCATCCCGGCCCGTCCGCCGCCACCTGCCCTCCCCGGCCGCGCTGCCCGGGACCTCGCCGCTCTCAACCTCTGCCCGGGCGGTTCCTCCCTCCGCGCCGCGCCGCGCCGCGCCGCGCACGCACACACCCGGCGGAACGGCTGCTCCCGGCTCCCCGCGCCGCCGCCCGGCCCCGGCGCTGCCCCGGGCTCCGCCGCAGCCGCCTCACCTGCATCGACGCCATGATGGGTCCGCCTCCTCCCCCTCCCCTCCGCGCCGCCGCCGGGCCGGCCCCGCCCCGCGCGCTCCCCGGTCACGTGCCCGTGCCCGCCCGTTGGGCAGCCGCGCGTGCGCGGGGCGCGGGCGGGGCGCGGGCGGGGCGCGGGCGGGGCGCGGGCGGGGCGCGGGCGGCGCGGGCGGCGCGGGCGGGGCGCGGGCGGCCCCGAGGAGCGGGAGGGGCGCGGGCGGCGCGGGCGGCCCCGAGGAGCGGGAGCGGCGCGGGCGGGCGGTGTTTGTTTGCGAGCTGCCGGTCCCGCCGCCGGGGAGGCTGCCCCGGCGCTGCCCGTGCCCTGCTCGCCCTGCGGGAGCGGCGCGATGCCCATCACCGCCACCCGCGGGGCGGGAAGGGGTTGATGCCCAGCCCGCTTCAGTTTGTGAAGGTTTTTAGAGGTCCACGTGCAGTGTTTAAGTCACTCGGTTAAATTCGGACTGCGCCCGTCTGTCGTGTGGGTTTCTCCGGGCTTTCCCTGGTGCGAGTGCCATACAATCGTAGGACCATAGAATGTTAAGGAGCGGGGAGGGACTTAGAAGATCATCTAGATCCGACACCCCCGCCATAGGCAGGGACACCTCCCACCAGGCCAGGCTGCTCAGAGCCCTTCCAGCCTGGCTTCGAACGCTGCCCGGGATGGGGCATCCACGAGCCTCTTCTTCCAGTGCCTCACCACCCTCACAGTAAAGAATTTCCTCCCGATACCTAACCCAAATCCCTCTTCCTTCAGTGTGTGCCATTACTCCATGTCCTGTCACTGGACCCCGCCGCAGGTCGCCCCGGGCCGGCGCCGCGCTCCTTCTGTGCGCTCCCTGGTGCTGCTGTGCCACAGCTCATCTGGCTCTCCTGCACTGCTGTCTGCTCGTGTATGACTCCAAATGAACGTGGGTGTGCTTTAGGTCGGAGCGTTCCTGGGTTCTACGTTTTCCTTTCCTGGACTGGAATAATCCCTGTCCTTTGCACCAGGTGATTTTGCCGTACCTGTGTAGGTGAAAATAAACAGGCAGCACTCAGTAGAGTGACTGTGTGCAATCAATAAATTAAACAACTTGTGGAAACACGCTTCGTAAAGCTGTTATTCCTGCTGGAGTATTTCAGACCTAACAGATCCTCAAGATAAACCTACAAAATGTTTATCCAAAAACAACCTATAAAATTTATAATCCCAGTGGTTATGTAAAACTAAGGATTTAATAGAGAAACTGATTTTAGAGGTCATTATAATCCCCGTCTCCCCACTGCTCATGTTGCACATTCCAAAAACACTGAAGCCCCTTCCTCTGCCCCTTCACCCCTCTCCTTTTCTGACAATGTTAAAAAATTCTTGGGTCACCTCTGCTCCAGTGGTAGCCCTGATTTTTTCTTCAGAGATGGACTGAGAAGCAAAAACCAAATTATTGAACAATTGTTTGCAGTTTGTACTACCTTTGAAATCTTCGTTAATTTTAGACCTCTAGAAGGGTTCTGCACCCAAAAGCCTGTCTGCCTTGTTCAACCATATTATTTAGTGTGATGCAAGTACTACCTTTACGTACAAGCTTTACCTTCTGGTAAGTTTTTAATATCCTTAACTTTGAAAATGGGTAACTGGAGGAAAAACAAAACCCCAGCACAACTTAGCATCAGTTTCCAACTTTTATCCAGTATCAACACTGTCATCGCTGTTAAAGTAAGCATACAAACTTTGGGGTTTGCTTAAAAGGCAGAACCCTTTAAGCAGAAGAAGACAGCAGGAGTATCTTTACCCTGTGAGATAGCTGCAGAAGTGAACAAGCCCCATGGCTTTGCAAGATTATGCTGAAGACCAAATCATTATTTGTTGATTTTTGAGTAGGAAAGGAAATTAGGCTACCAAAAGTAATGATGGGAAAAGTATAGTCATGTAAATTGCATCCTATACATTGTCTTGTCTTCCAAATCCAATTCTCATTTATAAATTATGGGCTCCTGATGCTATGCAACCTGACATTGCTCAGCCATGTTTTCCCTGGAAGTCAGTATGTATTACTATATGATTTTTGCAAGACCATTTAGGTTGCAGAGGATTTGTTGCATTAAGCAGACACATAGAGCTGGTAAAGGCTTCTCTTTCCTGCAGTTCTTCAGAATGAACTTAGGCTGTTACAGCACTTAAGTGGAACAGTTACTAGTTGTTGTTTTGCATGATGGAAACATATGTTTATCCTAAAATACATCTCTTAATGCCATATGCCACAAAGACAGCAAGAACATCAAGTTTAAGCAATGGACATGTGTTCAGTTATAAACATGGACATATTGACTATCTGTTTTGATGTACTCACAGCAAGATACAACTGATTTCAAACCATTATACTCAGTTTCTTACGCCTCTTCCAGAAAACCCTGTTGAAGGTCAGAAGATATAAAGCAGCATAAGCTTGTGAATGCCAGAACACTTAACAGACTGCAAGCTGGTTTTGCATGGAAAGATCAGCTTTGTGGTCTTAGGCAAACTGTATTCAGTACAAATATGATTTCTACTCTGTAATAAAGGAAAAGTATCTCTGGATAAAAAGCCATCTTTGCAAAAAAAAAAAAAATGTAAATCACAGCTTTTAACTGCCCTTATGCTCAATAAGTCTTTTTTATCTATCAGAGCTTTTCAATATTAAAAACAAGCTACTTACTAAGTTTTTTACTGAAGTATTCTTTACTGAGATTACTTAATCTATGCTGCAGATCCTGTTCCTGAGGATACTAGGCATGAAAAGCAAGGGCTAGTTTGCCCTGCATATAAATAGAGCATGAGTTAATTACTACCTACTCAATTTTAAGTGAGTATGTAAGTAATTAAAGCATTATGCTGCAGTTGAAACTCGTGGGCAGAATCCCACATCCCCAAATACACTTTGAGTTTATTCTTACAGGACTACCAAAGGTGTCTTTTATAACCATTGTCACATCTTGTTTTTTTTTAAAGTGTCATTAAATGCCTAATATATATGTGAAATATTTTTTTAGCTCCTTGTTGTTGTGGGAATAGGGGAATCTGGAGAATTATCCCTGTGTTTTATTGGGTTTTCCCCCTTTCCTCATTTCCTGGTAACCTTGCTTGCAGAGATGTTTTTGTACAATGCATAATGCTATAGGGATTAAGGAATCAGTCCCCTAAGCACAGTAAGAAAAGAAACACTATTATCAGACTCCCAGAAAGAATATATGAATATTAGTATCTTAAATTATCCTGTAATCCCACTAAGGAAAGGCCCTAATTCCCAGAGAGGGTAGATTTCACTAGGAGTAAGTTATTGTAATTTGGTTTTCATTTCAGTTTTGACCTTTACCTATGCAAAACATAGAAGAAAACATTTCTGTAGTTAACCCTTCCTAATCTGTTGAAAGCACAATAACTGGTTTCTTAAAAGGATTGCTTTAGTATTTAGCTAATGCAGTCTGATCTTTCACCAGTCAACCCAAGTTTTGCCAGAGATTTCAAGGATCAGAGCTCTGGGTCCCAAATATTCAAAGCTTATGGGGTAAGAGAAATTTAATCTGTTATCTTCATTATTTCAGAGGCTATCTTACACTGATCTGATCAAATACATTATGACTCACATATCAAAAACATATGGAGCAAATAATGAAATTGTACCTCCTACTAATTTTTTTTTTGGTAAATATTATTGAAGTTGACCTAAAAATCCATTTTTCTTCAAAGTTTCCAAAACCCTATACTTACAGGAAAAATGCAACTAATGTTCAAACTGCATTTATTAGATAATTTTCTGATATACCAAGACAGTTTCAAAGAAGTAAAATATAATTCTTAATTAGGGTCCCTGTAATTTTACATTCTATTCCCATGTTGTCCATAATGTTTTCAAATATCACCAAACATTTTTCCCTCTGTTCTCACCCTTTTTATTTTTTCTGTATAATTTTTCTACACACTGAACTGTCACTACCATCTCCTTTATGAGTCCTGGTTCTAAAATGACACGAGAGATCAATTTCTTTTGCCTGTGTCCACTGTACTTTTTAGCTTTTCATCTTGTCTCCTTACACAGAAGTAAACTGTACATTGATGTTAACTCCCCTCATTACTTGAGTGGCATGACACTTGTAATCTGCAGTGCCAGGAGACTGCATCTCCTGAGCATGGAGAACTCCCTGCCCCTCAGGGGAATTGTGCCAACTGCTTCTTCTACTCCTACCTGCCAATTTAGGAAGGGCACTGAGTTTAAAAACTCTGTGGAATTAAGATCTTTGTATAAACAAGCTTGGTGCACCTGCAGATACCTTCAACTAAAGATGCAGAATCAAATCAATAGAATATTATATCAAGAATATAAAAGTAATACATTGCACACATAGCTAAAAATTAGAATAGCTTATTAAAACTAAATTCAAATGCAAGAGAACTTTTAGCTGTTGAGATTTTATTGTTGATTTATTCCTTAGTGATTACGTAGGTTTTTCATCAATAGTGTATTTAATTTTCATCTTAGTTCTCAATAGTAACAGGCAAAATGTCATTTCCATCCCAGGACTTTCAAAGGCATGAAAAGATGGTAAGGAAAAGAAAAATCTCACCTTATTCCTAATCTGCTACAAGGGCAGTTCCTGCAGGAGAGGGTAATCTTATTCTCAGATGACATATGCCTCCATTTCTTGTTTAGGATTCGACAATTTTGAAGCCACTGGGTGATCTGTAGCTTTCATCTTATCCATAGGAAGACTAAACTACCAGAGTAATTTCCATCAGATCAGAAAATAATTTGTCATATTATGTGGAGATCCAGTTGTAATTACTGGAGTGCTAGAAGGAGAACATGGGTCTAGGGAAAGGGGTGGAATTGCCTGCTTTAGTAATATGCAGAATCACAGAATGAGTCAAGTTGGACCACAGTGGTCATCTGGTCTAACCTCCCTGCTGAAGCAAGGGCAATCCCAGAGCACATTGCTCAGGATTATATCCAGGAGGTTCTTGAGCATCTCCAGTGAGGGAGACCCCACAACCTCCCTGGGCAGCCTGTTCCAATGCAGTCACTTGCACAGTAAAGAAATTCTTCCTCATATTCAGGTGAAACTTTCTGTGCATCAATTTCTGCCCATTGTCTCTTGTCCTATTGTTTGGCACCATGTGCTGTAATTACCAATTTGTAGTAATTATCAAGCCATGTTTTTAGGCAGCAGGAGTCCTCTAACTCTTTTAAATGCTGTAAAAATAAAAACTTATAATGACAAAAGCTGTAAAAATTAAATGAGGACAGTGTAGGACCTATACTCAACTAAGTAGATGAATGCATTTAAAAGTGTAATGTTACATAATTATTAAAAGAAGAAGCATCTTGGGTGACCTCTACAGATCTTTGATAAATCACCATAGTTCCCTTGGGCTGAGGAGCAATTCCTCCAGCTGTGCACATCAGACTGCACACTGCCCTTACTGGACCATGCACACTGCTTACAGAGCTTGAAGAATTTAATTTCCAGGCCTCTACACCAAGATGACACTGGTCCAGCCCGTTGGTTTATTTAATGTCCCTCGGGAAAGACAAGACTTCATATGGGATACAATTACCATGAACCAGATTACATGATACAATTACCATGGACCATGATATAAAAACAGAATGGGTGAGCAGTTGACTATTTCAGATGAGTATTTTCAGATGTTCTCAAGTCATAGCTGTTTTTTATAAGTCAAATATCTATGACAACTGTGAAAGCAGCTTAAATGTTAAATATTGATATATCATTTTCATGTTTCATTTGTAGCAAACAACAAATGCTTCTGCCTCAAATGGAGTGTCACTTCTGAAAAACATTATATGTCAGCTTAGTATGGTAATGCAGGAAGCTTTTCCCTGTATAGAAAGAGAAAATAAATCCTTTTTGCCAAATGCATTCAAATTCTAGATATTTTTCAAGCTTGGTGATAGCAACCAAAATTGACAACTTTTTAATCTGCATAACAGGCATCCAGTTGTTTTGCTAGACAGAGTAAGAAGAATTCATCACAACATAAGATATGGATTATGTATTATTTATAGTTTGGTGTAGTGGTGATTTGGTAGATAAGTTTTTTATTAGC